TGCATTGAAGCTGATGGTAGCCAATTCATCCTAATGATGGAGAACTCTCTTGAAAAACTGATAAAGGTTTAGGAAGTGGGCTCCTGAGAGTTTATGACAGGGACTTTCATCGGCAAGGGCAAGCACCTAGCACCCAGCACAGCTGCCCAGGATAGGTTAAGGCCACAAACAGCTTTCTGTCCTGGAACCTTTTGCATGTAACTCCTCCCCAAACCTCTTCAAGTTTTGCCTGCTCTGTGCAAGTTTCAGATGTGGGCTTCCAAAGGGGATGACAGCGCTTCACTTCTTGGCAAGGGGAAGCAACCTAGCCCAAGCCTTTGTGGTGCCCACCACAGGCTGCCCAGGAGAGGGAAAGACAGCTTTCTGTCCTGGCATGTTTTGTGTGAGAGAAATTGCTAGACACTTGCAATTTTGGATGTTGTCTGCAAAATTCTGAGATCCTGAGATGATGCCAGTCCCTTTCCTTGGGGACGAATGCACCTCTCTCCCTGGTGCATCCTCTCTCCAAGGGGAGTTAATGGCCCGCAACAGCTTGTTTTTGTTCTTACCATTTCTGTGTGAGCTCTGCAGATGTTTGGAGAGTTGGAGATTTCATCTCAGCTTCAGGGGTGAGCTTCTGAACGTGGATGAGAGCGCCTTCGGATGAAAAGGACTTATCCCTGGTATTATTGGTATAGGAGACAGGCTGCCCAGGGGATATAATGGCCACTAAAAGCTTTCTTTGCTGCGACCTTTCACGTGGGAGTGGATGTGGGAGCGCATCCCCGGCCCTATTCCCTTCTGGGGGAGGTATCCACATTTTGGCACCTTTCTCCTGAAAGGCGATGGAAATACCTTTCCTCAGCAGGAAAGCACCTAGCCCCAGCTTTGGTGGCAGCAGATGCTAGGCTGCCCAAGGGAGGTAAAGGCCCCTGGTCAGCCCCCGGTTACTGAAGGGAATAAGAGTGCCTTTCCTTGGCAAGAAAGGCCATTAGTCTCAGGCTTGGTGGTGCTCATGAAAGGCTGGCTGCCCAGGAGAGGTAAAGGCCCCCAGTCAGCTTTCTCTTCTGGAACATTTTGTGGGGGAGCAGTCCCATGGTGCCTTCAATAGTGGTGGTAGTGGGCAAATTTCAGAGTTTGTCTCCTGAAACAGGATGACAGTGTCTCTCCTGGCAATGGAGAGCACCTGGCCCCAGTGCTGCTGGTGCAGCTGGTTGGCTGCCCAAGGAAGGTGAGGGTCAGAAAACCTGCCAGGGCAAAATCAGTTGCTGGATTAGCCCTTCTCATCACAGCCTTTTAACTACATCCTTGGTCTATGGATGTTCCTTCTCAGATATAAGTACCATCACATTTTTTCACTTTCACAGATCTCAGTTTCTAACCTGAAAGAAACCAGGGGCTAATCCCTGCAAAAGCTCCTAGAACAAAAAGCCACCACTGATTTTTCACTTTCCTCTGCAACCAAAGAACTGCACCAAACACATGGCTGCATTACACTTCTCACCTATTCATACTGTCACAAAATCTCAATCTCACAAGCTAAATCAAAAATGAAGTGTTTCGAACTACACCGTGTAAGTGTGCCATGAGAGAAAGGTTTCAATGACCTACCCTTCTAATTGCAAACTTCTTTGCTCTTGTCAGTCAAGTGGCAGCCACTTTTCCCTCACAGTTTGTAAACTGTAAAACCCATGGTGCTCTGCACGTTCTTTTCAGCTAGATGTACCATAAAGCACTTTCAGTCTCACAGAGTCTGATACACTTCTCACACAGAAAAACACACAGCTATTGAATTTCCTGTTCACCTTGCAGCCTTTCATGAAGATGCCACACACTGGGGCTGTGCGCCTTCCTTCTCAGCTCTATGTACCCTCACATTTTTTCACTCTGTCAGATCCCAGCTTCAAACTTTAAAATGCCCAGCAGATGCTCTCTTAAGAAAAAGGTACTAGAACAAAAACTAGCCTTGGCATTAACCTTCCCCTGTTGCCCAGAAACTACACTCCACAGTGTTGCTCAACACTTTCTTCTGACCTACTTGTACTACCACACTCTTGCGGTCTGAATGTAAACTGAGAAGTTTCCAGCCCCGGCTCACACATATAAATGTGCCAAGACAAAATGTTTGCTCGCATCTTGCCTACTGTGCTTTCTGTCCTGGAACTTTTTGCATGTAACTCCTCCCCAAACCTCTTCAAGTTTTGCCTGCTCTGTGCAATTTTCAGATGTGGGCTTCCAAAGGGGATGACAGCATCTTTCTTCTTGGCAAGGGGAAGCAACCTAGCCCAAGCCTTTGTGGTGCCCACCATAGGCTGCCCAGGAGAGGGAAAGGCCAGCTACAGCTTTCTGTCCCGTCATGTTTTGCGTGAGAAACATTTGCAGTTTTGGATATGGTCTGCAAAATTCTGAGCTGGGATCCTGAGAGATAATGCCAGTCCCTTTCCTTGGGAAGAAACACACCTCTCCTCTGGTGCTGGTGGTGCAGAGATAGGCTGCCCAAGGGGAGCTAAAGGCCTGCAACAGCTTGCTTTTCTTCTTACCATTTCTGCGGAAGTGCTCCATGGATATTTGGGAATTTGGAGATTTCTTCCCAACTTTGGTGTCTACATTGTTCACATGTTCTCACTCTGCTCTTCCCTTCTTGCAATTTTAATCCGCGCAATAACTTCCGTTCTGTTCTTAAATATCTTATCATAGAGGAGTTACTATCATTGCTAATCAGCTCAGCCTTGGCCAGCAGCAGGAAGCCCATCCCGGAGCCAGCTGGCATTGGCTCCACCAGACACAGGGGAAGCTTCTAGCAGCTTCTAACAGAAGCCAACCCTGTAGCCCCTCCCACTACCAAAACCTTGCCACAAAAACCCAATACGTTTTGAAATCCAATGACGTTTTTGCAGTTAGACACTATCACCAACAACTTACCAACCTTATTAACCTGTCACGATCTGTATTATTAAGGAGTCTTATTCCGTAAACTGTTAGAGTGAGTCCTTTATAAGGTGCTAGCAGTGGCCGGCAGCAGATAACGCATTGGGAAGACTTGCTGAGGGGTCTCCACACTGTTGGCTTAGCCCCTAGAAAAGGGCAGTCGAATCACGCTCTAATCCAGTGAATCTGTTCAGTGAAGAGTACCCCTTACAGGACTCTATCAGACTAGTTGGACATAAGGGTTTCGGCTTACCTGAGGCACTGACAGACAAATAAAACACTAAAGGTCAAGAAAATCTCTCCTCTCTAAGGGTCAGGCAACCCCCCCTTACCTTTCTCATGACAACCCCAAAATTGCAGACCTAACAGGGAGCCTTGAAACACCCTACTCCTGAGGACTTCCAGTTTTCTTACCTAGGCCGCTACCTGTCGCGACGAGGGAAGAATGAGATGCTCAATATGAGAATCAACAAG